TCATTCATTGATGTATTAGTTCATTACAAATGTTTATTGAGCACCTATTCTGTGTCCTGAGATCAATTTTGAGCCCTAGAGATGCAGCAGTGAAGAAAACAGACTAGGTCCCTGCTCTCCGGAAGCCCACAGTCTTGGTGGGAGACAGACGCTTAACAAGTAAATCAGGCCATACAAATGGTGGTCAGTGCTGGGGAGGGGATTAGCAGGGACTGAGACGGAGGATTACAGAGATCCCAGGGCCCAGTGTAGGGTCTGGCACAGAGTCGGCACCAAAAACGTATTTGAATGAGAGCTGAAAATCCCCAAGGCCAACTGGCTGTTAAGGGCAGGACCAAAAACTTCACCATCCCTCTCCTGTACAGAGAGAAGCTCTTCTGGTCCACTTGCTAGCTGTGTGGCCTTGGGAAAACTCCTTCACTTCTCTGTGTCTCAGTTTTCTCATCTGTAAAATGGTATTAAGTATCACCTGCCTTTTAAGCCTGTTCCAAGAATTAAATGTGCTAATGGCCTGACAAGGGCTGAGCAGAGTCTGGCCTACAGTCAGTGCTCAATAAATGGAAGGGAGAAGATGAGGATGGAGGCCAGGAAGGTTGGAGGAGTGTTGGCCTAGTTCCCTCTGCCTTTGGAATCTGGGCTCCGCTCAGCCTGGGTGAGCAGTTTCAGGAATGGCCACAGGGTGGCGCCTGAATCCCAGTTATTCAGGAGTTAGCGATTCCTAGCAGAGGAAGCTGTTTAGGGAGATAGGGGCCAGACAAGCAGGTGGGCTCCTATGGCCTGGGATGGGTTTGAGTTTGGCCTGAACTTGCAGCTACTTGAAATCCAGCCTCTTCCAACCTCTCTCTCCCTTCGGTTTTTCTCTTGGGGTTTCCCTGTCAGTGTTCAGGCATGCAGCCCACCCCCTTTTCTCCCCAGCCCCCCAGCACTGGAGCTCAAGGCTTCTGCTAAGTAAGCCCTGCTCCTTGCCCATCCAGTGATGGGCACCAGGGCCCCTCAAGCCATCTCCCTTTCCTCTTCTCATTCATGAACCAGGCAGGGGGACTTAAGTGAACACTTCCCCTGGGCCTTGCAGGACAGGGAGCCAGTATCCTGGGGGTGGGGTGGGAGATGGGAACAGAAACTGAAGGAGGGAAACGGAAAACACGCAGGAGTTTCTGAAGACCTTCTTCCCATCTGTATGTTCAGCACATAGGAAATATTACCCTCATTACACAGATGTGGAAACTGAGGCTCAGAAGCCTTGGGCCACGTGCATGAATTGCCTTTCCTGTATACCTGACTCCTTCACCAACAGTGAGGTGTGGTCTCAACTAAGAATATTCATCAATTCATTCAAGAGCATCTACCGAGCTCTGCAGATCTGGCGAGAATCAGACCTTGCCCCTGCCCTCGGGAGCTGGCAGTCTGGAAGGAGAGGCTGGCAGGGAAGCAGACAGGACAGCTTGTCCTTGAAGTCTGTGCTGGGCACAGTGGGGACCTACAGGATGCAGTTGCTGGTGCCACCTGAACAGGTTGAGGGGCAGGGAGGGAAGGAAGGTGTGAGTGGCTTCGTAGATTCCTTGGGGACTAAGGACCAAGGACCTGCTTAAGTGTAATTTTCAAAAAGGTAAAGTCATTACCCTCATACAAATAAAAAAAGTGAACACATGCCAAAGATTTTCTTTAACTCTTAAGATTTTATTTATTTATTTTTTCCCCCAAAGCCCCAGTGGATAGTTGTGTGTCATAGTTGCACATCCTTCTAGTTGCTGCACGTGGGACGCGGCCTCAGCATGGCCAGAGAAGCAGCGCGTCGGTGCGAGCCCGGGATCCGAACCCGGGTCGCCAGCAGTGGAGCGCGCTCACTCAACCACCAAGCCACGGGGCCGGCCCTCTTTAACTCTTTAACTGACAAGGAACCAGGAAGATGTTAAAACTAGTGCAAAAGAGAATTTGCACAAAATTCCTTTGTGTGGTTATGAACAGGCATCACTTGCATTATTATCTGTTTCATACACATTATCTCTATCCCTACAGAGTTTAAAGTCAAAGACAATCAATAGCACATACCCCTAAAGAATCAGATCATCATCAGAGGACACCTACCTGATACCCAGCCTTTCTCTGAAAGGACACCCAGGAATCTCTTTTGCCTTTTCCAAGGCTCTGATATGTTTTCTTGACTGACTCTCAGAAGGATCAGGATAAATCAGGTAGCAGCTGTTCCTGAGGGAGCAAGTCATCTAGAGAGAGGCTGGTCCCCACCCTTCCATCATCCCCCTCCGCATCCAGGTGACAAACTTCCAACTCTAGCAGGAACTAGCCAGAGTCAGTGCCCGCCAGCAGGTGGCGCTGAGGCAAATTCTCAGAAGCACCATAGGGAATTCTGGGGCTGGAGCTGAGTGAGCTCACCGAGAACTGTGAATTCAGTCATTCTCTGATTCAGTCATTTTTTCATTCAACAAACGTGTAGCCAGGCCCACAGATCATGTTCTTGAAGTTCTCCAGACAGAGATTTCTGTGTGTCAAAGAATCAGTCCTTGTCTTTGCTTGCTTGGCCTTGCTGCCAGGACTGAAAGCCACCTGAAATTCTGAAATTTCAGGGTCTCACTCCACCTCACCCTTGCCCTGCCTACCAGTGTATCCACTCCCTCTAGAAAATTCACCTCTCAAAGATTTAATGAAAGGCTTTACTTCTATAATCTCCTTTTAAGCCCTTATTATTCCCATTTCCCCAGTGAGAAAGCAGATTTCTCTTCTGGGGCCGTCCTAGCTGTGCAGGAAGGCCATGCCTCCATCCCTCGAGGCCAAGATGCCACCCCAGACCTGACCATTTCCCTGGCCTTCCTATAAGCTCACACTCACAGAGGCCTGCAGCATAAAAGGCACCTCCCCAGCCCTTCCCAGGGGTCTTAAAAGTTCTCCAGAATGTAGTGGGAATAACTACAAACTCAGTGCCACCCCAACTCAGCAGACAAGGAGCTCTGAAGTGACCTCACTTCCCTCCTCAGCTGAGACCCCTATTCTGGGGTAGGGGCAGCTGGCCCAGGGATGGAGGTGGGAAGGCAGGGTCCTGAGGGCCATAGTGGTAGTGAGGTTTGCGCTGGGGCATGAGTGGTGGTTGGGCTGTGGCGTGGGAACACTGGAGGGTGCATCTGTCCCACTGGGGCCCTGCCCTGGCTCCTGAATGCTGAGTCCAGGACTGTGGAAGAACACCTTCCTCCCATCATAGGAGGTGGGAAGTGAGTTAGGGTGAGGGTTCCTGCCTCCCCCCCCCCCCCACACCACATCATGACTGTAACATCAGCAGGACAGAGGTCACCACAGTGCTGTGGTCAAGCCCCTCAGGAATTTCCTGAAAGAGGAATCTTTGAGAGAAAAGAGTGGGACTACTCGGAAGGGGAGCCTGGGGGAAAAGGCCTTGGTTTCTGAGCACCTGGGGCCTGCGGGCAGCGGGCAGCGAGGTGTGGTGGGAATGAAGTTGAGACGGTGGAGCGAAGAGCAGAGCGTGTGGAGAATTAGAAGGCAGAAGAGGGAGGAAGAATCAGGAAACCCTCAGAGGCCCACCTTTCCCTGAGGGAAATGGCAAGCCCAGACAGGCCAGAAGTCCTCACTCTATTAGCACGCTGAGTCTCTTTCTTTCCCAGGAAGCACGCAGCCTGACTCAGCATCCCAGGAGAACAGCTTGTACCAATGGCCTGGACTTCTTTGCTCTAACAAGTTGAGACATCCCTCAGTCGTTCCTTCAGGACAGGTCCCTGGGTGTTTTGCGAAGGTAATATTTCATTTCCTCAGATATGCTCTGAGAAACTGCTGGAACTTCTTGTTTGGGGAAGGCTGTGCAGCTGAGAACTGGGCCCCCTCAGTGGCTAGATGGATTTTCTGGTTTCTTCTTCCATGAGGAAAAACTAACCAGGATGGCCTCCTTTGGACTGGTAGGCACTCTGGGATCCGTGGACTTACCTCAGGAGGAGAAAGGGTGGATCTCTCACTGTCACTACGATGGGCACTCAGGAATCCTGGTGTTTTGAATATCAGAGGAATTGTGAGTTTATCTTGGCTCTCATGATGATGAAGCAGGACATACCCTAGAAGGGCATGGAAATGAGCAGCTTTTTCCAATGGTTTGGGCTCCTTCCCTCAATTTCCAAATGAGCTTCCCTTCCTCTTCTCTCCGACATAGGAGTCTGCGAGGGAGTCTTTTGGCGCCTGAGGTTCCACTGAAGCAAGCCTGGGCCACACAGTCTTATCCTGTCATCCCCTTTGTGACTGTTTTCTGGAGATGTTCCATGCCAGCACATTCTCATCCTCAGCTGTATTTGTTATCTATTTCTACATCACAGACGACCCCAAAACTTAGCAGCTGAAAACCATAAACATTTATTCTCTCACACAGCTTCTGTGGATCAGAAATCCAGGAGCAGCTTAGCTGCTGGTTCTGACTCAGGGTCTCTCATGAAGTTGCGGTTAAGATGCCAGTTGGGATTGCAGTCACTTGAAGGCTTGACTGGGGCTGGAGGACCCTTTCCCACAGTGGCTCACTTACATAGTTAGCAAGTTGGTGCTGAAGGTTGGCAGGTGGCCTCAGCTCCTCACCTTGCAGACCTCTCCATAGGGCTGCTTGTGTGTCCTCACAACATGGCAGCTGGCTTCCCCCAGAGTAAGTGATCCATCTGGGAAAGGGAGGCTGAAGCTGTGATATATTTTATGACACAGCCTCAAAAATCACATGCCTTCTGGGCCAGCCTGGTGGCACAAGCGGTTAAGTGGACACGCTCCTCTGCGGTGGCCCGGGGTTCGCCAGTTCGGATCCCGGGCGCGCACCAACGCACCGCTTGGCAAGCCATGCTGTGGCGGTGTCCCATATAAAGTGGAGGAAGATGGGCACAGATGTTAGCCCAAGGTCAGTCTTCCTCAGCAAAAAAAAAAGAGGAGGATTGGCAGATGTTAGCACAGGGCTGATCTTCCTCACACACACGCAAAAAAGATCACATGCCATCTCTCCTGCTGTATCCTCTCAGTCACCCAGCTCAGCCCTATTTAATGTGGGAGGGGACTACACAAGGGTGTGACTACCAGGAGGTGAGGATTGCTGGGGGCCATCTTGGAGGCTGGCTACCACACCAGCCTTCAGGTAAATCTTCAGAAATATGAACCTCATACACTGAGGTTTCCCTGCCTCCCAGTATTTATTTATTTATTTATTAAATTAATTAATTTATTTTTCCCCCAAAGCCCCAGTAGATAGTTGTATGTCATAGTTGCACATCCTTCTAGTTGCTGTATGTGGGACGTGGTCTCAGCATGGCCGGAGAAGCGGTGCGTCAGTGTGCACCCGGGATCTGAACCCGGGCCGCCAGCATCGGAGTGCCAGCACTTAAGCGCTAAGCCACGGGGCCGGCCCTCCCAGAACTATTTAAGTGGTCTTAAGCATCTCTTCCATCCCATTGGTGGGCTCTGTCTGAAGGATGAGGATGATGCCCAGTGCAGGCCCCACCAACTTCCCATCAGCTTGCTTCCTCCTGTGCCCCTCACTGATCTCCCACCTCCTGCATCTCAGCAGCGGGTTCCAGCTGCAGCACCAAGTGTCTTCCCCAGGCTGCCACAGCTCTTCCAACAATAGCTTAAGATTTGGCATATCATGGTTTCCTCAGGAAACTGACTAGATGGGCCCATTTCTTAGGGACAACCTCAGACCCACTAACTTTGTTCCTATCTCACTCTGCCAGCCTGCAGCAGTTAAGGTGCTTTTGGAGACCAGGAACAGAAGCCAACTCAGCCAAAAATGGAACTGAGTGGAAGGATGCCAGAGTGTGTCACTGGATGAAGGGAAGCCGAAGAACCAAGATCCAAGAAGCCTGGGACCAGGCAATCCTGTAGATCTTAACAGCATGGGTTCAAGGGCTGTCACTGTGGAGCACAGCCACTCAGACACAGTACCAAAGACCTCTGCCTCTGCTTCAATTTCCTGGCAGGGAGAATCTGATTGGTCCAGCTGGAGTCAGGTGCCCATTTCTGGTCCAGTCAGCAAAGGCCAGGGAAGGGGTGGAATCCCAGCCATGGTGCTACACGATGGAGCAGGTCCTGGAGTGGTTATTATTTCTGAGGGCTGAGAGACTCACTAAGAGATACCTATTCAGGGAAGAGGTTTGTTCTGTGCAGAAATAAAGTAATACGGAGCTCCAAGATTACTGCATCCCCTTCCCCTTTCTAGAATCTTCCTGGGACTCTGAGAGCCACTCACTTATTCAAGAAGCTTTCCTCTCACCTATTCGTCCCCTCTGAATATCCTGCCCAGAACCTGGCACCCACTTATGGGCTTCAAATTCACTTCAAAATGTGGTTCAAAGACCACTTACTTCAAAATCATCTGGGAAGCTTGTGAAAAATCCAGGTTCTAGGGATTGGGCCTGGGAATCTGTATTTAAATCCACCCCACAGGTGATCCCAATCCTCCTGTCCCTCTCCTAGCAGGAGCACAGCTCCCCTGGGACATGCATCTTTTGTTCTGATCCTACTCCTGGTAGAGTATTTTCTTTTTGTTTCCCTTTGTTTTCTTTCTGTTCTGATTCTCTCCAATACTCATTTTAAATTTAATTTTATCATTTAAAAATCTTTTGTATTTACATAAACAACCTAAAACCTTTTTTTGGAGCTAGGTAGTGAATAACAAAATAAGAGAATGAATTTCAATTTTCCCTAATCCTAGGGGGTTATTAGCTCCTGTGCAAATGGGCCTAATGAGAACTGCATTAGAATTTTTAATTATCCTTAATAAGCTTTCAAAATTCATGGGGCATAATAGGGTGACATTGATTGTTACCCAAATGGCCCAATGAATCAAGCCTCCTGGTATCTACACCCTCCCATGCTGACTCTGGGCCTGGCCATAAGACTTGCTTTGACCAGTGGAGTATCAGCGACTGTGACACAGAGGCCTGAGAAGTGCTTTGCTTCAGGCCTTTCTCTTGGATCCACCATGTGAGGAAACCAGCCTGGACTATCTTCCTTGAGGATGAGAGACCACATGGAGAGGGAGGCCTAGCCATCTCCACTGTCGCAGCTGAACCCAGTCCTCAGCCATTTCTTCAACTGAATGCAGCGTACAAGCAAGCCCTGGAAAAGCCAGAAGAAGAATGCCATCAACCCATAGAATCATGAGAAATAAGAAATCATTATTAAGTCCTAAATTTGGAGTGTTTTGTTATGCAGCAATTGCTAACTGATACATAGGGTCATGTAATAATCACAGAACAGTATTTCTGTGCCACTATTTCCACCTGATATTCCGGAGCCTCATATAGATCTGCTGTTGTGACACAATCCAAAAATACAGTGGTTTAAACAAAATCGTCTCTCTTTCTGTTATGTAAGAGGTCAGAAGTTGATGGTTCAGGGCTGGTGGTGCAACTCTGCCCACCCTCAAAATGGCTCTTCCATCTCTGGATCCAAACTGACTGCTCCAGCTCTTGCTATCTTCCCACCAGCAAGAAGAGAAGAGCGAGGGAAGGGCATGCACCATCCTTTTAAGAGCAAACCCCCAAAGTGGCACACCACTTCTATTTACATTCCTTTGGCTAGAACTTGGGTTGCAAAGGAGACTGGGAAATGTAGTTTCTAGCTAGGCAGCATGTGTCCCGTTAAATATGACCATTCTTTTTATTAAAGAAAGAAAGTGAAACTAAATATTCGAGAATACTAGCAGTCAATGCCATAGTCTGTCTCCAGGGTGAATATTCTCGTCAATAAATATGAGTATCTCAGAGACTAGGTGGTTTTACTTCTCATTGTAAATCAATAATGGGCATCAAGCTTTTATGTACAAATTGGTTAGGATGCTCTAGGCTGCAAGTAACAAAATACTCAAAAGTTGTCTAAAGAGTTTTATTATCTTAAGAGGTCTTGAGGTAGACCGTTTTTTGAACCAACATTTCTTTCCTTCTGCCCTCCCATCTTCTGTGTCAGGGGTCCCTCCTTCATGGCTGAAAGATGGCTACAGTGGCTCCAAGCATCATATCCACAGATAACAGAAATAATAACAGCTATCAAGTATGAAGTGCTCACCATGTGCCAGAACTGTCTAGACATTTTAGGCTATTCACTCACTTGATCTTCACAACTACCCCATGAGGAAGGTACCATTATTATTTTCATTTTGCAGACGAGGAACATGAGGTGGAAAGATGAAGTAACTCCCTCAAGACGGCACAGCTAATCAGAGGCAGGGCCATGCTTTTAACCCCGACTCTGCAGTCCCCACTTTCAAGGACTCAGCTGCTCTGACACAAACACCACCCCTGGAAAGGAAAGGTGGGGCAGAGCTTGCCCTAAAATGGCCGCTTTCTCTGTTTATTAGAGAGGGAACTCTTTCCCAGAAACCCCCAGCAGAGGTCCCCTTCTGTCTCATTGGCCAGAACAGGGTCACATGTCTACCTCAACCCAATCACAGCGAGGGGAGAGGGGACGTATAATTATCTTTGACCAGTCATCATCCCCCTGGGGTGGGCACACTGTCCTCTCACCGAAACAAACCCGGCTTCTTTTGGCAAGGAGGGGACGCGTGGGTAAACGTCTGCCCCCACGGCGGAACCTAGGCTCTGCTGGGGGTTCCCAGCTCACTGGGCTAGAAATAAAGTTGGCTCAGACCCCTTCCCTTACCCTCCACCAGACTTCCGCAATTTCTCAGGCTCACAATTATGTGGCTCTGGTTTCCTGCTTCTGCTGAATTCTAGCAGCTGTTCCCTTTATTTCTGCCCTGGAATTGACTCAAACGCAGAATGCAGCCCATTCCTTCTCCCAAGAAACTATGAATACCAGGCTGCTCTGTGAGCAGAATTCCACTCAAGATGTGTGGGTCTCTGGAAGTTTCAGCGCTGCTCAGCACACAACGGAAAGTGGCACTGGGACATTCCTGTCTTAAACGCTGTGGCCACCAGGTGTTCCTCACTCATCCTTCACCCCGCCCCCTCCCTGCCGCCCACGCAGGGCTGCCTGTTCCCCTCTGCTGGCTCTCTTCCACCTCCCCTCCTTCCTTCACAGCCCCTGCCACCCAGACGCCCCGAGGGGCTTCCAGTTCTCATTCCTGACACTAAGCGGTTTGAGCAATTCGCCCCTCCGCTGCCCCTCCTCCTTCTCCCAAACTCGCTGCCAGGCCGCCTCTGCCAGGCCAAACCCACGAAGGGGCCTCAGAACAAAAGGGCCTTTTATTTAACGAAGCAGGATCTACTCTCCTGAGAAGGAAGCTGTGGTTTTAATTAACATCGGTCCGCCTCTGGACTCCTCTAGGTGCACTGGAATTCAAATTTCAGAATAAACTGACAGCCAAGGAGGTCCTCCCCCTGTCAGGGCCTGTCTGAGTGCCCTCAAAGTTCATAGTGCAGGAAGGGGTCACTTTTCCAGAACCTGAGGAGGTCAAGGCAAACTGTGTTAGGAAGATACTGTCTTCCTAGAGTTTTCTAAGCCCCTGTCCCCAAAACTAGTGCCTCTGGACGCCTCTCGGGGTTACCCCACCAGGCCAGCAGGTTCTCTGCCTCTGACGCACGAAAGCCTCAGTGATGCCTTTTTCCTAAGAAGTTACAGTTTTAAGCGATTTTGAGAGCTGAAGAAGAGGGAAGGATTCCCTGCCCTACGTTTGCAGAAGTCCCAGCACCCCCACCAATGTCCCTAGAATCGTCTCAGGACCAGGATAGCTCAGAACCAAAGCCCAGTCAGCCCACGTGGAGGCAGAGTCCTGCCCTGGTTCCCATGCACCCCCACACGGCTTCCGGGGGATGTGGGCATTTGGCTGTCTCCTGTCTGCCCTCAGGGTTTGCTCAGATAAGAAGCAGCGCCTGCCCCAGCTTGCAGCTCAGCCTCAGCCGTCCTCATGCACAGCCTGGCACCGCATTTCCAGGACTCGCCTGCCCGGGCCCTCTGTTCAAGGGTTTGACCACAGGCAGGACTAGAGCCGAGTTGTGGAGGCAGCCGCATTGTTCTGGTTGTCCCAGGGGCAGCAGGGAGGGAGGGTTGTATAGGTGAAGGAAAGGAGAAGGATGTGGAGCAGGCTGGGAGACGTGAGAATCCCCGTGTCAGGGCAGCCTCAGGGCTTTTAAGAACTGGAATGTCCATTGTGCTGC